CACGCACTCACACTGTCTCATCCGCAGACACATGAAACAGATCTCAAAATAATTAATTCATTTCAATATTAATTTCGCTTTAAATAATTGTTCTATGCTATTTTTAGTATTCGCACATATAATTTTAGAACATATTGGTTTATGTGTGTGTGTGTATGTGTGTGTGTGTACAATTTTAATTGAGTTTATCTAATAGTACTAAAAGAATGAATTCTTGAAAAAAGTACATGTTGATATGCATATTACTACCCTTTAAAAAATTAGTATCTATATTCTGAGGAATTAATGATTCATGGAACACAACTAACTTTTTCTTACCATATCCCAGCATATCCTACCCTCGCTACCCTAATCTAAGTTAAATTTCGCGAAGTCCTTATTCGAGTGCCAGAGAGCTAAGACGAAATAAAGCTGTAAGACGCAACAAAGCTCTAAGGTTTTAACCTTTTGGTAGTTCGTTTAAAGTGTAAAGGATAATGCTAGTTCCACAATTAGAACACTTTTCAAGAACGAAGTACCCTTCACAGATCCGGTTGATAAAGCTAACTTCTAAGTGGTGGCTCTGGATGTTTCTAAGGAGTTTGATGCACTTCTCCGAGATCACACTATAAGTTTTGTTATAGATTGGATTTCATCAAACGAGTTCAAAATAAATTCAGGATTACTGCAGAGATCCTTTCTTTCCCCTACTCTGTTTCTTTTCTTTCCATAAACGACCTTGGTTATCAAACTTCCAACTCTATTTACACTTCTTCCGATGACGGCAATATCTATCTGTCTTTCTTATTCATTCAATTACAGACCACGCCCTTTGGAGATTGGGTCAATGAGACATAATATCAATGAATCGCACAACCACGACTTGGTGTCTAAATGGTGTCGAGCTGATAGAGTCGATTTCTACACCCGTATATGATGTGGATTAAGGAATCAGAGACTCTTGATGTTGTGGGCATTAGAATGCAAAGCGCTATCCGCTGGACTAAACAAACTTTTCAAGTTTCTTAGTTTTTTAAGACATCTTATTATTTACATCACCTATATTCGACCGAAAATGGAATACAACTCTTATAAATGGGTCGGAGCTTTTTGGAGCTACTCGACCGCGTACTAAGGTACTTATTGGTGACAGTAGGGTATCCAACATTGTCGCAACGTGGAGTGTATTTCATTGCTCTATCGATATTATAAAGGAATTTGTCCCTCTGATATTAATGAACTTGTTCCCAATACCCGTATATTTTTGCGTCTTTCATCAAGAACACACTTACTAGTGGTCAATTGGACTGTGAACTGCACAACACATTATAGGGAAAATTCATTATTCAACCGTTCCGTTAGTATATGGAATATACTTCCTGCAGAGGTATTCCCTGCTCCCTCTATACTCCCTCTCACAACATTTTTTTTTCTAGTTCCAACAAAATACAAATGAATAAGGCCGATCCAAAAAAACTACCCTGCAAATATTAATCCATTTAGGGTATCCAAAAACTACTCGCCTGTAAACATTATTGGAGTACATGATCCGTTTAGTAGTCATATGTAATGCAGGCATGGATCATGTTTATTATTTTTGAAAACAACATAATTCATAGCCTGTATTACATAGGACCATGTTGCGGATCATGTGTACTCCTATAATTTTAGCAAGGAACTCGTTTTAGGATTACTACGAATTAATAGATTACGTGGTCCTTACCTATGACATCACAATGTTAAATGGAGTATGTTTTTTCCACTTATTTGAATTAGTTTTGGACCAGTCCTAGTCCTTTGAGGAGTAACTTTGAAACTCATGTTGCAATTCTTCATTTGCAAACCTGGTGTTATTCGATTTAAACGGTCGAGGGAAGCTTAGACGCACTACACGACTTCTGATTATTGGAAGTAATTGAAACTGAGTTCGGTGAATTCTAGATAGTCGCAAATTTCTCTTGTTCTTGGGGTAGATACAAACATACGATTATGATTATATAGTCTGACGCCAATAAAACGATTAGCCATGTTGCGAAGTTGATCTGACTAGAACGCGCTATTGTGATGCGATCTTACGTTCCGATCATTAGTTCGTTCATTCAGGGAGCATTAAAACGCTCTCTAATCCTGCCTACGCAGGAGTATCAGGCTGTTATATCACAGTCTGATACGCTGGAGCTAGGAGACTATTAACCAAATGTAGACTTTATATAACAAGTTTACATAGATCTTTTTCGATTTTACCGGATCTAACAGCAATATCCTTTGAGGAGTACTCTTTACACGCGTTTGCGGAGCAGTCTCAATTTTTGCAGAGTTTCCCGAAAGTTGGAAACCTGATGATGTTCGATTCAAACGGTCGAGGGAAGTATAGACGCACTACAGAACTTCTGATTATTGGAAGTAGGAGGGTATTGATATTGAAACTGAGATCGGTGAATTCTAGATAGTCGCATATTTCTCTTTTTCTTTGGGTAGATACAAACATACGATTATGATTATATAGTCTAATCCCAATAAAACGATTAGCTGCCATGTTGCATAGTTGATCTGACTAGAACACGCTATTGTGATGCGATCTTACATTACGATCCTTTATCAGTTGGGACATCATCATTCAGGGGGCAATAAGACGCTTTCTGATCTTGACCTAAGCCAGAGTATCAGACTGTGGTATAACACAGTCTGATACGCTGGAGCCAGGAGGCTACTAACGATATGTAGACTTTATATAAAAAGTCTATATAGATCTACTTCGTTTTTATCGGATCTAACAGTACTCTTTACATGCGTTTGCGGAGCAGTCTCTATTTTTGCAGGGTTAGTCCGAAACTTAATTTGCAATTCTTCATATGCTAACCTGATGATGTTCGATTCAAACGAACTGAGTTCGGTGAATTCTAGATAGTCGCAAATTTCTCTTGTTCTTTGGATAGATACAAACATACGATTATGATTATATAGTCTGACGCCAACAAAACGATTAGCTGCCATGTTGCGTAGTTGATCTCACTAGAACACGCTATTGTGTTTCGATTTTACATTACGATCCTTTGTCCGTTGGTTCATCATCATTCAGGGGGCAGTAAGACGCTCTCTAATCTTGACCTACGCCAGAGTAGGAGACTCTTATATCACCAGGAGTGTAATGGCAGAATGTAGACTTCGTATAAAAAGTCTACATAGATCTATTGCGATTTTACTGATCTAACTTAATGTACATGTACATGTGATGATGTATCTTTGATGACATTTGCAATTAAACTAGGTATTTAATGTATTTTACTATGACATCCAGAGGATCTCTGTTTGTTTAGATATTTAATTGACTCGGGTGGGTAAAACAACCTTTTATCTAACTTTGAAAACATCTTAATTTTCTTAGTTCTTAAGTAAACTTCTTAAGAAGTGGGATTAAGATAATTGTTATGTGAAAAACTAAATACCTTCAAACGTCTGCCTCTAAATGAAAGATATATGGATGATTCCTCCATTACATACATACATACTTATATGTATACTATAGCTAGATACTTGATGAATGTAAGCCATTTGGTCTGGAAACTTTGTTATAATGATTAATAGACTAAACAACACAAACAACTACACTTCTTATAGATGTAAATTAAAAATAATATAAAAATATATATAATTTTTTTTGTTTCTAATGCCGACATTTTTTTTTTTTTTTGTTTTATTAGAGAAGGCGCTTAAATACTGTTGCGCTAATGTTGTTGTATAAAAAATTATGTACATTATAAAAGTGGATCACTTAAGCGTAAAGTGTCAATATCAACATTTAGACTTTTTGTATTAAATTTCAATAAGAAAATGAAAAAAAAAAAATAATGAATTTACAAAATAATGTACATGAATTGGGAAAAAAACTATAACATTCTCGGTTAAAATGTGGTTTTGCCAAAACGATGACATACAAAATAAATGATGTAGTTAATGTTGTTATTTTAGTTTTAATACCTTTGGGGTAAAAAAATTTGATTTGTAAATTTATTTAAATTTGAATTGACATTATATATTAGAAGATGGTTTGAAATTTAAGGGTTTAAACAAACTTTTGGCAAGAGTACAACTATTCCGATTATTCTGAATATTCTGCTTTAACCAATCTCAGCAACTATTTCTCTCCAAAAACTATACGATGAAATTTTTACATTTTTTCTATTTAACAACTGTTTAGTTCAAGTTTTCGTTCCGTTTTTCCATCCCTGACATTTAAATTTGCATTTCTTATTGTTAGTATTGGTCTGAAGAATCTTTATCTATGTGTGTGAGTTTATGAATAGAGCGCCATCTTTATGTCGATTTTAAATCAATTAAAAGTCTCTCTTTATTTAAGTTTTAATTCTCTCTTCGTTTGATCGATTAAAGACAACGGAAAAAACACTTGTTGTTGTTGGCGTTGTATTGTGTGGCTTGATCACCAACATGTATGGGTGTGTGTGTGTGTTTGTAAGTGTTTTAACTAATACAAGATCGTCTAGATTTCATTACACTTCAAATCAGGCTTTTTATTCAACTTAAACAAACGTTGCTCGTTGTCGGTTTTATTTCTTTCTTTTTTTTTGTTCTGTTATAAATATTTCAAAACAAAAATGTTCGTTATTTTTTTTTTCCTACAAAATTTCATTACTATTTCATCTTTAAGCTCACACAACAAAAAAATTTAAATAAAAAGTATAAAAAAAAAAATAATTATATTAAAATTTTATATGTATAAGTTTCTTTCTACTTATTTAATTATATCGTTTTGTGTTGTTTTTTTATTATTTTTATTCAAATACTATTGATCACTTGTTAAAAGCGTGCTCTTTTTTGTTGTTGCTATTTTCTTTAATAAATCATATAAAAATAACTACTAACGTTTATATACATATATAGATTTCAATATAATATTAGTAGAAAAAATTAATCATAATAAATTATAATAATAATAATAATGCTACTACTATTACCACAAAAATATTTATAAATTTTTAAAAATTTATTCTATTTCGTTTCAGTGTTTTAAAAAATATAACTTATTTATGAAAAAAATGGCTAAATAATGTAAAAGTGTTTTATTTTTATATATATATAAAAAAATAGCAGTAAAATGCTTTAAGAGCAAAAAAAAAGGAAAATATTTCTATGTGTGTGTGCCTGTGTTTTATTTTGGTATAGTGTAAAAATTATAATTAATTTCTATAATTTTACATATTACTAGTGATAATGGATGCAATTTTTATAACCAGTTATAATTGGAAATTATTACATTTGCAGCCAAAAGATTTGTGGATTTTAACGTTTATTTGAAAAAGGTAAGTTTTAAATAAAAAATATTTTTATTACTTATATATTAAGGGTATTCATGAATCACATGTACAAACTTGCACATTTGCACAAATGGCTATCTGTGTTATTTATTTAATTCCAACATCTAAATAAATAACATTAATCTGCATCTTTATCTGAACATAGCTGATCTAAACTTTGTCACCAAAGAAACATGTCGAAATGCATATCACAACTTTCGGGTCTAAGTTTAATGTTTTATGTGAACTGAAATTTCTATATCAAATAGTTCCGAAAATGTTCTCAATTTCCTTAGAAATGTCAATGTTTAGTTCTATGTTGTCTGTGCACAGATAAAGGATTCTAGTTCTAATAGTTTCCCAGATATACGCTTCTCATTGAAGTTTTTTATATCCACCATCAAAAAAGATGTGTTATTGTTTGTAACACATCCAAATATTCATCTAAGACCCATAAAAGTATATATACATATTCTGGGTCCATATTACATTCAAAGACGATCTAGCCATATCCGTCCGTCTGTCTGTTGATAACACGATAGAGTCCAAACGGGAACAGGTAGAGAGCTAAAATTCTATACAAATGTTTTTAGTTGGTCCAGATCTGATTTCGCCTAGCCCCTTCAGAAAATGACTTTAACCCTAATAATATCATAAGGGTGAAATTAACCAATTAGTTTTATAGGAACCTAAACCTCTTGGTAAAATTTTGTAAGGAGCGGTCCATAATTGATGCTACCCGCCGGTCCCCTTCAGAAAATGAATTTAACGCTCTAAACTATCTAAAAGAAGAAGGAAACTAAATCTCTTTGTCAATTTTTATAAGAATCAGAACATAATTGACCCTTCCCCCATATAAGTCTACTTCAGAAAATGACTTTAACACTCAGTACGAGTACATCGATGACACTTGGAGCAAATATGTTTCATACAAGTCAAAATCTCTCATATTTTATGAGTGTCGATCCATAATTGACCCTACCCCCTGATATAAGATCCCTTTTATCAAATAATTTTAACGCTATACTGGCTTAAAAACGAGTATAGAGATGAAATTCGATATACATAAATAGTTTCCTACAAGACAAAATCTCTCTGCCAAATTTTATAAGGATCGGTCCATAATTGACCCTACCGCCATATAAGGTCCCTTGAAAAGATTAATTAAATACTGTTATAAAAATACGAGTACAGCGAAGAAATTCGACATACCTAACTAAGTTTATTACAAAAAATTTATTACCAAAAGTTATGAAGATCGGTTCATAACTGAACCTATCCCCTTTAGAAAATTACTTTAACGCTCACAACTTGCTTAATAATAGCTGTGTAGTGGTGAAATTTATCATAAAAATTTGACATATGCAAGATCTATAGTAACAAAAATCTCCCTAAAGGTCCTATTCCGAAAATCACTTTGATGTCTATATTAATTTCGAATAGTAAAATTCAGCATACATATGTCAAATAAATGAGAGGACCTTCCAAAATTTACTTTAATTTTACTGCACAAAATTTGATGGAGAGTATAGAAGATGCGGCATTTCCGAATATAAAGCTCTTAATTGTTATTTAATTATAATGGGAGATGTCACTCCCCCTATTTCTGTCTTAAATATACATATTGATACTTAAATGGCTTAGAGCCCTACGCTAACTGTTATATTATCTCAGATATACTAATTACATTTATATAGAAAGGAGGTGCCTCGCCCACTATATCCAGTCAGCCCATTTCATCCCCCAACGTTCTCTATACGAAATCTGAGGACTCTAGCTCTCGTAGTTTTTGAGATATGTGACATTTAATACTTATTTCAAATACACATCGAAATATGATTACATGGTTTTGATAAGGTCCTTGCATGGCCCGCCTTCTTTCTATCAGTTCACCCGTTTGTTTGTTAAAGACACGATAGATCACTGAGGAAAGGTGCCAGGGCATAATCCGTCATTCTGTCTATCAATTCATTCGCTTGTCTGTTATAGACACGATAGGACACTGAGGAATGGTGTTAGGGCGTGGTCTGCCCTTTTGTCTATCAATTCATTTGCTTGTTTGTTTAAGACATGATTGGACACTGAGGAAAGGTGTCAGGGCATGGTCTGCCCTTTTATCAATATCAATTCATTCGCATGTCTGTTTAAGACACGATAGGACACTGAGGAAATGTGTCAGAGCATGGTCTGCCCTTCTTTCTATCAGTTCACCGTTTGTCTGTTAAAGACACGATAGGGCCCAAAAGGGATGAAATTTTCCAACCGGGAAAATTTATAAAAAAATGTCCATCCATCCACCAAAGACGAACGTGAACTTAAACTTTTTTATAAAAAATCCAAATTTTCAATAAAAATCTAGATTTTTTCCGTTTTTGGTGAATAATTTGGTTTTTAATAAAAAAAAATCGATTTTTCATTAAAAATCCAAATTTTCAGTAAATATCCAAATATCACTAAAAATACAATTATAAAAATTTTAGAGATTTTTCACTAAAAATGCAAATTTTCACAAAAAATTCAAATTTTCACAAAAAATTCAAATTTTCACTACAAATGCAAATTTTCACTAAAAATTTAATTTTTCACTTTAAATGCAAATTTTCTCTTAAAATTCAAATTTTCACTAAAAATTCAAATTTTCACTAAAAATTCAAATTTTCACTTAAAATTCAAATTTTCACTTAAAATTCAAATTTTCACTAAAAATTCAAATTTTCACTAAAAATTCAAATTTTCACTAAAAATTCAAATTTTCACTAAAAATTCAAATTTTCACTAAAAATTCAAATTTTCACTAAAATTCCGATTTCGACCTAAAAGACGATTTTCACTAAAAAACTATTTTCACTAATAGCTAATTATTTTACTAATATTTGAAAAAAATTATAGAATTTTTGCCAAAACTTGCTATAGCTAACAATTTGACGTAAAACGAGTTAATTCACTTAAAATTAAACTTTTTACTAAAAATTATTTACTTAAAACGGATTTTTCAGTAAAAACCCAAATTTTTGACAGAATTCACTAGAAATCTAATTGTTTCACTTAAATCCAAATGTTTCTCTTAAAACATATATTCACAAAAACCGATTTTCCACTTACAAGCAGATTATTCACTGAAAAAAGACTTTCACTAAAATCAAATTTTTAACAAAAATGCCAAAGAACTTATTGAATTTTTGTAAAAAAAACAAAGCGACCTTTTCAACGTAGCACAGTGTCTGTCTCACCTAAGCTTGAGTAATCTATAATCTAAACTTAAAAATCCAACTGTGTGTTATTTAAATTAGGCTTTATCTTGTATTAAACCAAGATTTAAAATAAACTAAGTTAACAAGTAACAAAAAAAAAAAAAAAAAATATATTAATTAAAACCAAACAAATCTTTGATTACAAATCATATTTCAGGTTTAAGACAACCCGCTGCTTTTAACTACGACTCCAGCTGATTTTTGATATTGACAAGTTTCATTTGAAGTATTTGTATGTTTAACATTATAAATTCTTTACTTTTTCCATGCATATGACGTTTTTTAAGAAATCATGGAAAAAAACGTTATAGTATGGGCGTTAATGTGTCAAAATTCTTTGCATAAATGTCACCACTTAAAAAAAACCGTCCAGTAACAGACACAGGGTTTTCTTAGTGATTTTTGCATAAAAACCAGACAAATCAAATAATTTAAATAAATAAAATTTATGGTTAAATTTTATTTAAAAAAAAACTATAGAAAGGTTGCCGTTATGGATAAAATATTATCAAAGAACACAGTGGTTTGAAACAAAATAGTCAGTCTACCGTAAGCTATTTATTCTGTACAGCTTATTAGCTTGGAAGTCTCGAATTCTAATTTAGATTGTCAATTTACAACTAAAGCTTTAGTTAGGTATTTGTTTTAATTAATTTATTTCCCACTACAAACAAATTTTTAATTACTTTTTTTTTCACTCTTAATTGAAATATATTTTCTAACTGCGTTTTCTAAAACAAATAAATTTCTTATTCATTAGTCATAATCATCATCATCAAATATAATTACACTTTATTGTAGGGTATCTGTTTGCTATTTTGTCAGTTGTAATAAATCATTTGAAATCAATCAACATTCCATTACACCTATTAATCTAAGCAATTAAAATGTACAGAACAACAACTAAAACAATAATAATTTATTTAATCCAACTCTATCCCATTATTCTGTTTAAACTTATTAAACAGATCATTATTAAAAATAATTTATAAAGTCATAAAACGTATAATAATTAACAAGAAAGTTGTCAATAGGAAAAAACAAATAAGGGGACTAATGTGGTATAAGTTAAGGCGTAATATAATTCTCATTTGGTTTACAATAAATAGTTTACTATAGTGGAAGACTATGGTTTAGCATATGGACTATACTATAGTCCGGTAAATAGTCTAGACTATAGTGTAGTCTACAGTCTAGACTATAATGTAGCATACAGTATAGTATAGTCTATAGTCTAGACTATACTATAGTCTAGACTATAGTATAGTCTATAGTCTACACTATAGTATAGTCTATAGTCTACACTATAGTATAGCCTATAGTCTACACTATAGTATAGTCTATAGTCTAGACTATAGTATAGTCTATAGTCTAGACTATAGTATAGTCTACATTATAGTATAGTCTATAGTCTACACTATAGTATAGTCTACACTGTAGTATAGTCTATAGTCTGGACTATAGTATAGTCTATAGTCTGGACTATAGTATAGTCTAAAGTCTGGACTATAGTATGGTCTAAAGTCTGGACTATAGTATAGTCTATAGTCTGGACTATAGTATAGTCTATAGTCTGGACTATAGTATAGTCTATAGTCTGGACTATAGTATAGTCTATAGTCCGGACTATAGTATAGTCTATAGTCCGGACTATAGTATAGTCTATAGTCCGGACTATAGTATAGTCTATAGTCCGGACTATAGTATAGTCTATAGTCTGGACTATAGTATAGTCTATAGTCTGGACTATAGTAT